AAAAAAAAAAAAAAAAAAAAGGGAAGGGTAAGAAATATCGTCAGGATCGGAACAGCAAAAGATGACACACTACTTACTACGAAAGGGAAGGGAGGGAAAAAAGGTGGAAGAGAGAAAGGAATCACGACTAATTGAAGGTTAACTGGAGATTGGCGGTGACGATCCTAACTCTGGGAGGCGAACAACCATAAGGAAAAATAAGAAAAAAAAATGCGCGATGAGGGAAAATAATAAAATAGAAAATAGAAAATATTAGTTATTTTTATGATTTATTAGCATGATTCTACTCAGTCAGCAACCCAACGTTTGGGACGGTTGCTGGTGCCGTTGACTTGATTCGTGCCTCACCCGGTTTCCGAAACCCAGTCAAGAGCCGAACAGGTCTACATTTCACTTGACTATCCTACTTTCGTGTTTCTTGTTGCTGTACCCTTTGGGTTGAACGAGGTTGAAAACGTTAACCGAGATCTCCGTCTGCCGGTAGACTTTTGAGTGCCTCTGGCTCTGGAATCTTAACCATGAGGAACGGTTCTGTAACTTTCTGCCGCCCAGAAGGACGGCAAATTCGGCTCAACAATCAGAACCCTTTCCGATGTAGACCGGAAGGGCAGGGAACCCTTCAACACAACACGATCGATTTTGGTTGGCACCAGCGGCAAGCAGGGGAAAAGCTGGTGAAAGACGCTGTTCCGATCGCCGATGCTGGTTGGTCATCTCGTCAAACCCATAATAAGTTTTTAATTATTAGGATTTCTTGGTCAGGCTTCTTCTGTGTCACAGATTGGGTTGGTTGGAGGCACATCGGGCGTGTACCGAAAGGCAATCCCCGATGTACTCGATGGTATCCTTGCCGCAGGCAGCTACGGAAAAGATACCTGGCAGGAACTTGTTGTTACCGGCAGTACAGCCTACCAATCAGAAATCGCCCAAGGTCGGGCGGACGCAAGCGGAGAAGCGCATGAACTGCTCTAGGCCAAGCGTCCAGCATACGTAAAATTCTCCTCCGTACGAGTATTTGATCCAGGAAGGTATTTGGATATTCAGAACGGCGGAGGAAGGTGTTCAAGGTCCGCGTTTCATTGTTACACGACGGCGAGAACGATATCTCATTTCGCGCTTGTTGGTTCTCCGGCCGGAGAGGGAGGGCCGAAGCCTAGGTACATACGGAGTAGTACTAGTAGGAATGGTAGTAAGGTACCAGCCCGGGTGGAAGGATCAAAGGATAGATACAGCACAACAAATCAGAGGCCCTGAGGACTCCTGCTGATGAGGGGTGGGAACTGGGAAGTCATGGAGGGGCGGGAGGTCTAGTAGATAGTATCTAGTAGTACCTAGCAAGCCTGCATGCCAGCCGTAGCTGGAGCTCCGGCTTACGCTCGCCGGCCCTCTGGACTCTAAAGCTTAGTGATCTGGACTTGCCTGAACAGGAAGGCACGGTATTCGGCCAGTACGGGCCCTGTTCTCTAACTGCTCCGGTTGCATTCGAGTTTCCTCCTTATTCTGAGCCTGTCCTGAGAGCCCGCATCGCCCTGAACGCAGCAACGTCCCTCTGAACCTCTGGGGCATCGCAGGAGTCGTCTTCATGCTTGATGTCATGAGGCGGATGGACTTCTGCATCCCTTCTCCGCAGTTGACAGGCCCGCTTCCTCAATATTGGCTCCTCGGACGCTCAGTCCTCATGGCACATCCACAATCCCACATGAGTTAGGTAGGGGCACGAAACCTTATCAGAGTTATCATCTTTGTTCGAAGTGGAGTGGCATCCTGGCTTGAACCTGAGCTTCACGATTGGGAACAATGGTAGAGTTGCCCACTCGACTCCACGGCTGTCAATCTCGATCTTAGAAGTATATACTCCAGTCTCCATCGTGTTTGACGTCCGATGGGGATCCTTATGGGGCCGTTCATCCTGCGTTCTCCATCATCATCATCATCCGTATTTATATCGCCTTGCTTGTCCACCTCGACTCCGGCCTCCCATGTTCTTTGTTCCTCCGGCCACGGGCGGCAACAACCGCTTCGTATGCAGCGCCCCTGTCTTCCCGGACTGAGTGCCAGCTTCGTACACTCGTCACCTTCTACACCACCTGGGATATTCTACTGGTCGTGACTACAGGTGGTTTTTGGTAGTGTCACAAGAGACTCAACGACTGAGCATGCATCATGACGGTCACCCTCGGTCGGCTGCGGTTTGCCTACTTGATATTACCCCGATTATGCGACCGGCTCGTACTATTAATTTGGACTTGCGTAAGCCGCGTTGGAAGGTTATTAAAAGCAGGGTACGTATGTGTGTCCTGGACATCCTAAGATTACAGGTTTGGTGTTCAGATCACTCGGGCTACCCTCCAAGTTCCTTGGAGATGCAAACCCCACGCCTCAAGAGGACAGTGATGTTCGGCGCAAAGACACCACCACCACCAGAACTCCGACCATTGATCGGACGCCTCAGGTATACACCATCTGCATGGAGCTTCTAGACTGCAACTCGCAAGTGTGGTACTTTTGCGTGTCGGGGAGTGGCAGAAACCCGGCCAATTGGCAACATGATGAGGCCACGCACCCTGTTTCAACCATGCCACCCTAGCAGGTCTCCTTTACGAATGACTATGCCTGAGGGCCGAGTAATACCACTTTTCCAGACGTAACCCGTGGTTCGGGGCTGCGTATCCTTGCCACTTCCGACTGGAAGTATGATGGATCATAACCGACTCATTCCGAAGTCGCTGCAGGCGTTGGATTCTCGAAGTCTCGAATTCTCGAATTCTCAAATTCTCGTCCCGGAATGGGACACCAGGCCAGCGAGAGAAACATCCAATACTCCGTATGTGCAGCTGCAACAACAGCTTGATCACGATTCTTCATCGAGATGGGTCCTTGTTTAGGCTTCGCGGCCGCGGCTATTCTCCACCAGGAGATTTTCGCTGGGAGCTTCTCCCGCTTCGATTGTGGACCTCGACTCCCTGCCTTAGGCGGGCGAGTGGAATCGCTGCAGTTGAATCTCCGTATTATATCCGACTATCTGATCTGACTATTCGGCAGGGGTCACAGCACCCAGTCCCATGCCGATAAACTCAGGCTCAGCGAAGTGGCATACTCGCACGAAAGCAAATGGACGATGCATGGCGGAATTCCGCGGATGAAGGATTCCGTCAGTTGTAATGCGGAAGCCTATTTTGCGGCTTCGCTCTCGTGGCCGCGGAGCGCTTCGGGAGCGCGAGAGGAGAAGTATGCCGTCATACACTGCCCATACCGTACATACATACCGGTACGGGCTGCCTGGATGGAAGCGCGTTGGAATCTGCGCCTCGGCAGAATTCCCATTGCCAACTGACTCCGGTAGTCCTATCACTATCGCGCTGGCACGTCCTTGGAGATTCCGTACTATTATCGTTGAGAAATCAGATATATCGCTCAACCACCGTCCTCCCTCAGACCCGGTGGGTTACGGCTCTGCAACATCTCGCCCGACTTGCCACTTACGCCGACGTTCCAAGGAACAGGCGCCCACAGTTTCTCGCGCCGGTTAGCATCCCAGCAAGACGCCTTTCCCGACGGGGTAAGACCAGCATGATGCATCCAGTGGTAGCCTCCCGGTACTACCCTGCACCTCGCCCAATGTGGCGGTCCGATCACGGCCGCCGGACTCCACCAAAGCCGATGGCCCGCTCATGGAAACTTCTACGGAAGTGGCCAAGCAAGGCGGTGTGGGTGATCCAGGACCTGTCGTACGAGAGAATCCGCACTAGACGCAGTTGGTCCTTAGGCAGTGCATAGTCACAGGTTAACCGGGTGCTTAACGGCATGGGTTAACGAGAAATTGTCCGACCGATCGCCGCCAGCTTGCTATCGTCCTAAAAGCTTGGCTTCTCTTGTGAGACATTTGCGTGCTCGACAGTGCTCTGCCTCCTGTCGGTGTCAGGCACGCAGGACGATTCGGGGAGCCATCCGGAGGATCCAGCTGCAATAGTAGCCCATACATACCCTATATGTTGTGTCGAATACCCCGTGTCGACACGTACCTACATCGAGTTGTATCGACTTCCATATATAGATTGAGACACCGCTGTGTACAATGGGACCCGAGTCTTTCAGCAAGCTACCCAGTTCATAGTATCTCTCCTATGAACGACGTGGCAGGGATAAACAGGCACAACCAGCGTGGCTGGTCCGAGGCCAATCCCTAAGCCGTGAAAGCCAACAGGCGCGGCGGTAATAACATAATGATGATATAACGCTAGCCCCCCGACACGGACTAGTTAGCAGCACTAAAGTCCCTAGCCCCTCGACGAAAGACATCCTTACGGGCCTCCAGAGCAGAAAAGAACTCAAAACGACCGCATGCAGATCCTCCCGCCGAATCCGGGACGGTCAGAGTCGGCCGGAAAGTTCCCTCGGCACTTTTACCCTGCCAGGGTGGTTTTTCCGGGCATGACCGGAGTAATGCCGAAGCCCAAGTCTGGATCGGCTCAGTTTCAGACCTCGCGTGCGAGCCAATCAACGCGGCGTGGTTGGGCGAGGCGAGTACGCCACCCACCTCATTCCACCTGATGCCAAGCAACGGACGCTCTTGCACTGGACTGTTGTTGCTGTTCGGTGTGTGCTGTGTGGCCTGAGCCTGCGCTCTTTCCGACCTATCGATGGATCTGGCTCGCGTGGATGAAGTAATCATGATCATGTGCCTGATTTTTGCCCTCCCTCCTCCCGGAGTTTGCTGCTGTCGCCCTAAACTAGGTACCGAGGTAGGGAGGTTAGTACCTTGGGAGGTATCAGTACCACTAGGCAAGTCGTGCTACAGGATACATCTACTCAGATATCACATAGTACTACATAGTACGGAGTACACCAGGTCAGTTTAGCTAGCATTATCAGCCATCCTACGAGCTACTGCCTAAGTTGGCAGGAGCATAAGAACGCCTAGTTAATTGGGGTCTTATTGCAGACTCCAATTAACTACGCTCGCTGTTGCGGAAATTGTTGGCGCTTGCACAGGTTGCTCTCCTCGCCAGCCACCCGGACTAGGTAGGGACCATGCGTCGCCGGGGTACTCGTTCGATCGAATGATGTCCCCAGTCCGGCCATGGGGCGCTGGTGATCGATCCGAGGGTAGCCATCGAACCACGGTCTTGGATCCGACGATGGCCCATGGCGATGAGATCGCATGTCCCTGTTGAGTACTGATTTTGGATGATACGATAGCGGATCCTTGGGATGCTGGATGTATCTACCAGGGCCGCGTCATGTTGTTTCCGATTGTCTCGCCTCGCATATAGAATCCGGTGAGTGTGATATGTTCGACCGTCTGGGGGGGTACCCAGGTCCGGAGTGGCATTCAGGTGGCTATAGTGCCAATGGGCCGATAATAAGATTAGAGTTCGTTGAGCGTAACGCCGTCACCACCACCTCTCAGATAGAGTATGTGGCTGCCTGAGGCGTGATCAGATAATTCACGAACCGCCCCAATCTGCAGGGGTACGGAGTCCGGAGAGAGCTATCTACTACGGAGGGCTCCTTACTCTAGGCTCTGAGACCTGAGGACTATGTAATTAATTGAGGGGGAGGGGGAGGGGGAGGGAGAGAGGTATCCATGATCGACAGCGACTCTGCCGGACGAGCTCGACCCCGTTCCCGACTCCGTCCCGCCAGGTGTCGTGTATAAGAATTTTGCCACCAGCGACAGCCACGCGGACTGGGAGAGAGGTCGCCTGGCATGGGCTGGAAGGGCTAAGGAGAGGATTGTGAGACCCTTCCTAAAGAGGTATCTTCCACGAGGATACAACTCCTGATAGGTAAGCTTCTTCCATCCTGCCACCAGATTACTCCCAATAATAAGAACTTGTAATTTGGGCGTTATCATGGCCGGCGGCCGGCGCATAATGCCGCATGTTGCGAGGGAGGCCGGAATAGCGGATCACGGAATCTCGCCAAGTTTGCCAACCTCCTCCCCTGTCAATCCTCCCCGGCCATAGCCAGGTCCAACACCCATAACTCGATCAAGGACTCGTGCTCGGGTGAATGCTGAAAGTACAACTCACACCGATATAAGGTTACCTACCACATACAGTGTGCCGTGAATGCGTGTCAGTTGCAGCACAGCCTACTCGCCTCCTCATCCGACGGGATAATCCTTCAGACGCGACTCGTAAACAAATAACCAACGATACGACAAATCGGCAGAACAGGGCAATCACACCTGGACGATTTGCCGAGAGACTACGTGGAAACCTACATAGTACAGAGTTACATCGTGTACTTGCGGTGAGCTTCCTGCCTCTCGCTACGTACTTCGTACCGACAGACTTCCATACCTCCAGTAATGTCTATAGCGAAACATCTCCTACAGAGTAAGGACTGTGTATTGAGCATGACAGGGCGGTCTAGGAGATAGTCCAACAGCCCTACTACCGTACCTGCAGGAGGAAATGACCCCTCCTTGCCCCATCAAGACGGTGTTACGATCCGACCGGATCAATTAGGTTAAGGCTTAAGCAGACGGAACCTCCGTAAGGGACAGGGGAAGTCATTCGTTCGATCGGAGGGCGCGGTGGAGATGGTCGGATGGGAGGGGGAGGTGGATCGGTAGGGATGATGCTTGCTCTGATGTCTGTTGGGACTGGTAAATGTGACTGGTGAGGATGTCTTGTTTCGATTCTTATTCTTGTTGTGAGATATATGAGGAATATACAGTAAAGATACTATATTCAAAACTGGGAACTATTCTAAATTAAGGACTTGATTTTGCCAGCCTATGCATCCCATATTCCTTAATATATAGTTATCCCTTCTATAGAAACTAAGTAAGCAAATGTTCATATTTATATTCCCACACCAGCCAAATTCCTCGATACTATCCTGTATCCAAGAATAATAATACAGGTCCCTAAATACCACACATACTAAATAATTATACGTATACCAATCCTGAATCAATACATCGCATCCCATCGCATCCCAGACTACTCCGTACCCATAGTAGTACCCATACCACCCATACATAACTACCCCCAAACCATCCTGCATATGACACATACACCCCCCCCTCAACTCACCTCAAAACACACCCAAACCCCAATCTTACTCATCTGCACACCTCCCCATCTCACTCAATATGTACGGAGTACGGATATGTACAATATAAAAAATACCAAATAGATCCCACTCACATGCACCGCCCAGTCCAGTCCCGCCTAGCCAGTCCATGCAATCTGCACCTCCCAGAAACAAACCTACCAATACCCACTTCGCATTCTGCAGGCTATTCTGCACCGGGATGTGGATGGACTTCCCCGGCGTGCATACTTGTCGACTTGCCTATTTGCCTACGGAGTACTTACTGGAATTAAAGCCAGTGGGCAGGGTGGTGGGATGTGCTTATTTACTTACTTCCTTATCCTATGTGCTTTGTATGTGTGTATGTTTCTCGATACATGTGATGTGTCTACAATGGTTGGGATGTGGGTAGGTAGGTAAGTAGTAGGTATTTGTGTCTGGGTTGGATGGTTATGTATGTGTGTGTATATACGTGCAAGGATACCGCGTCAAGTATCTCGCTACTTGAAAAGCGAAAAGGAAGGTACGGAATTACATTTGTGTTTAATGTACGGAGTACCGTGGATGCATGCCTGTAAGTAAGTAAGAACGGGGCAACCGAGGCGACGTACTCCGTCCTCTATCTATCCTTCGTGTATCGTACGGAGGACTGGGGATACGGTACAGGTACATATGCGATGCGTAGGTATGTGCATGTGCATGTGAGGTGTGGGTGGCTGGATGGGTGGGTTGATTGGTGGTGTGATAGGTCGATTTTCCTAGGTTGATTTGATGGGTTGTGTACGGTTTGGGAAGGAGGATGAGATCCGGGATGGTTTCTATGGAGTATTCGTATCTTGGATGGAGTTATAGTAGGTGGGTTTGTTTGGGTGGTGTGGGTTGGTGAAGGGAGAATGAAATGGTTAGATAGAGAGAGAGGAAGGGAGGGGGGGTTGGTGAGGAAGGTTAGTGTCTGGGATTTGGTTGAGGGGTGGATTGCTGGGATGGTTGCTATTGCTGGTTTACTTGTCATTATATGTGACCCAGGGCGTATACAGTAGGTATATGAGTTGGAAGTATCTGATCAGGTTGACTGTGTCTGGCAATTAAGTGGCTCGTGGATACAATGGTAGGCCGATGCACCGCTGTCTTGCATATAAGGATTCTATACAGAGTACTATATATGGCTATATTCAAACAAAGCACGCAAATGAGCATCACACGGCCACTATCTAGTAGATGCTTTGCTCGATGTATGTGGCTCCGCATCCTCGTCGCCCCCTACGCCGTCAATGCCGTCAATAACAGACGCCTCATCCTCCACAGCATGAATCGCGTGCTCCACATTCACCTTCGGCCCCTTGAACCATTTGTGCGCATCCACAAACCACCAGATGGTCACCCCCAGCATCGGTGCCCCCCAGACCAGACACGTCCAGTTCATCAGTTCGGGCGTCAGATCAGACCCCGTGGCGCTGGGCAAGCACAGCACGGGGATCATCAGAAGCACGAACGCCACCCCCATGCCTCCGATCCACGGTCCATAAGGACCCAGATGCCATGGCCCCTTACGGAACCGGTGGCCCACGAAGAACACCCGAATCGCGATGGGAATGGCGAAGGCGACAAATTGGGCAATGCCGCCAATTGAGAACAATGCGCCAATGGCCACATTGCCAGCCAGGATCAGCAGGCACATGAGAATGCCCAGAACACCGTTGAGGACCACCGCATTGACAGGGGTCTGGGTGCGCGTGTTGACTATCTTCCAGTATTTGGATAGAGGGAAGCAGTCATCTCGTGCGTAGGCGTATGTTACTCGTGATGCAGCTACCATACAGCCCTGTCCCATGGAAAAGCCGCTGATGATGGTCAGGGACAGAATGGCGAGGGCAGTCTTACGCGGCATGACCTGCAGTAAGTACGAGGCCCAGGGTTGGCCTAAATCCGAGTTGATGACGGCGTCGATGTCGGTGACGGTGTAGGCGACGACAAGCTGCAGGAACCAGCCCAGTAGGCCGCCCACGCCGGAGGTCATCACAATCGCACGCGGTGAAGCGATGTTGGCGTTGGAACATTCCTCGCTCAGATGGAACGGCGAATCGTAGCCGGACATGGTCCAGATCACTCCGACAAAGGTCATCAGCACGGCAACCCCGTTGGGAAAGTCGGTAAGGTTGGTGATGGTACCCCAGACCTCCTTGGACGGGGTGAATCTGGGCTCGTTCGTAGTCCCGGCAGGGATGGCGATGAGGGTTATGATGAGGGCAAGCATGTTGAACGTCGAGCCCCACGAATTGACGCGCGCAACCCATATGGTAGGCATGCTGCTGATAGCCGTATGTATAATCATGACGAGAGTTGTCAACAGGTAGACCTGCCAGTTTGTCGGGACATAGTCTGGATTCTGCATCGACGCAGCGGCGAGGATCATCGCAGAGAGCGCATAATCCACAGATGGCGCTGCAGTAATTTGTCCGATCCAGTTGGACCATCCGGTGATCCATGCGGCGAAGGGTCCATATTTTGGCGGAGCAAGAACTGCTGCGGCGTAGTAAAGCCCACCACTGGCGGGGTCAGTCTCGTGTACGTATTGGGGGTCTTGAAATTCACCGACCTGGTAGGCATCGCAGAACATAGCTCAGCCATGGACATCGCAATACATTGGATGAAGAACATCGCAATGATCCAACCCCAGACCATCCCAGCGGTCCCTGCATAGCCCATTCCTTGTAAACGTCAGCCCTACCTGTCACGTCGATGGGTCTAGAAATAGCTACCGTAGTATATCGTGCTTGCAAAGGATGGAAGCAGCCCCAACACCGAAAAACTGACGCAGAAAGTCGTCCATAGAGAGAACTCGCGCTTGAACTCTTGTTTGTATCCCAAGGCCACAATCACCCTCTCGTCTTCGTCCATCGCATGGTCAACATAGGGTATGTCGCCTTGCGGCAGGACGGTCGTGACGGGGACATGGTCGATATCGGTGTATACTGCTCCTTTCGAAACGGCCTTATAGCTGCTTGGCCCAGACATGATAACGTCAGGATCTGGAAGGCAGTAGGCCGTAGAGATGGAGTGCGGCTGATCTGAAGAGGTAGAGCAGCGGGGTATCGAAGGAAGGAAAAAGCAAGCAACCCAATAATACAGAACCCGCAGGACCAAGCTCACAACCTTGTCAGGTTTCCTCAGACAGAACGGTCTATGTTAGGGAAAGCCCGCAGACAGAGCTGAGTAGAAGATAAGTCATGTTGACTGCGCGATAAACGGGTTGTGCGTTGGTACATATAAGGGGTTTCGGAATATAAGACACCCATCTTATCTGCACATAGTGCATGAGACCCTGCCAGACGGGAGTACCGATAGCGACGGCATTGAGTAACATGTTGGTGGAACATGATAAACGCCTTCAAAGTTAAGATGCCCTAGCTGGGCACAAGGGAAGCGGGGATCAGACGCTGATACGCTTGGCAACTGGTCACGATCTCACTGGACGGTCGGAAGGGAAGAGAACGGAATTCTCGCCTGCAGCCAGCCTGCAGCACGAGGGGTCTGGTTCGCCAGGAGGGAAATGAAATAGATAGAGAGCAGCTCCTTGCTGGCCAGAAACTCGAAGCTTGGCGTGCAGACTATACTTGGCTGGGAAATTCCAGGCGGTGGCAACGAAGCAGAACTCGGGGAAGCTTCGAAATCAACGCTAAGACGATGGCCGAGAAGCTGGGGAATCCATTCGGACGGCTTATCGGGACATTGGTTGGTTATGGGTGCTTGTCTGGCTGATGATAAGCCTTGAGCAGATATCAGGTCGCTGCCCATGGGTGGGAGATAAGACGAGCACTGGCGATGGTCGGAAATAGGACCCGTCAATGGAGAGAACCCATTGGCTTGTTTCGTGAGACTTCGTCGACATTGATTTGCCAGGCTACACCTGCCTTAGTGAGAGTAGCGGGTTGAAGTGTCCATCCTTGGAATGATCATGGTGCTACTCCATACGGAGTACACTGTAGTACTATGATGCTGTTGTTGGTACCTAGTCCACAGAGTACAGCCCCGCATCAGCACTCGCATACAACATGCATTAAAGATCACAGGTTGTAGCTTTGCACAGTTATTCACTACTTACCTGTCCTTTGTTGATTCCTTTGAGGACGACCTTTGCGACTATCAATTCCCGGACGCTTTCAAATCCCTGAGAGGACCAGGTACTATCACGAATGTTCCACACTGATATCCAGACCAGTAGTATTGTCGGCTTGTCAACCGTGCGACCCCGGATTGTAAACGAATCTCCAGGCATCGCTCACACTGGACCATGAACAGCTAATCAGAGACACCGTAAGAGCCCGGTGCCAGATATAGAACGATATATTCATAGGTGGTGTGTCTAGTTGTAATCGTCATGCCCAACTCCAATCTCTACAGCATGGCGGACCGTGGAGTCTGCCCTAATGTGACATCGGAAAACTGAAACTGCACCGCCGAGCATATGAGTGGCGTGGCTGTTGTACAAGCAGCTTGCTAATGTCTCTGACTTGAAAGCCACATTCGAGGGCCCGCGCCAGTGGTAGAGTTGCCAGGCCTAGACTCTCCTGGTTGCTTTTCGCTATGCGGACGTTCAGAATCATGTTTTCTGGCATAAATCATTCGCTTGAAAAAAACAGGCGTATCTTCGTATCAACGTCTATGCGAGGGTGCGTCGAGTGGTCTCGTCGAATGGTGGGGAGAAGAGAGACGAAGTGAACAAGTCCAGGGCGGGAACTCTGAGGCCACTAAAGCTTGCCTTCACTTATGCCGACACCATCGAGTTTGAATCCGTGCTAAATACGGAGAAACAGCGCTTATGGTTACTAGAGAAATAGATAAAGCAGCCAGTATCTATGTGCTATCAGAAACTCATCGCTATTCTACACGTACAGCACCATCTTTTCTCCACCATCTGTCCGACGTAGCATATCCATGTGGAGTCTTACAGATGATCGGAAAAGCATATCCCATACGGCACCAATTTAGAAGGGCTAGACGATCATTAGTATCACACTTCCCCAAGTCTCCACGGAGACCGAAATGGTATAATCCAGCACTTACGTTGTCCTCGGGAGCGATCGTGCGGTCGAAGTACTCATCGAGGAAAGGAACCTTCTGGAGGATATCACGGCGGACACGGGGGATCTCGCCGAAGAAGAACAGGGCGAAGGTACCAGCGGCGACACCGAAAGTGCTGGCAATGGTAGCGCTATAGGTGCCCAAATGAGTAAGCATGCCTGCAATGAAGCCAAAGGCGAGAGGAAACCGGCTAGCAAGAGGGTGAGACTTACTACTTGGTGGCAGTACCGGTGGTCAGGCCGTGCCAGTGAAGGGGAGTGTAGTACCTAGTTCAATCCCGTCAGCAAAGACCCTTCCTTGTAATGCTTGCATGTCCGTTCTCAATTGGCGCCTTGACTAGCTGGATCTAGAGGTCGTTGTCGGAGGCACGCTATGTCGACAGCAGACGGCTTCACCAGCCCACGCTGCCCCGGAATTGTAAGCAAGTGCCCTGCCTGTTGACCCAGTCCAACTAGCATGGATACCTCATTGGATTCCGCACGTCGAGCAAATTACTGATATATCGGGGAATCTCACTTAGGAGCGAAAGGGGAGCGGTAAGCACCGGCGTTCTGGGCCGCGGCGCGGCGGAGAGTCTGAGAGAAAACCTATACACAAGATGATGTTATTAGCATTTATACACTTATGTCCAAACCATGTCCATGCTTTTGTCATAATGGATAACGGTTGCCGACGCAATTGAACATAGGACAAGGCCCGAGGAGCCAAACGAGATGCCAGTATGATGATACCGGGCAAAGAGCTCTGGAAAACACATACCATATTGTCTGGGTCTTAAGAAGCACGTCCGGCAACGACAATTGCTCCAGCAAACGATGACGGCAGCTGCACTTGGGAGTCTGAGGCAGTCGACGAAAACCGGGAGACTCCGCGACGTTGAGTGCTTGCGGCTTCCGACAGCCAATCAGCGACTGGCAATTGTTATCCACGTGACTCTGCCAGTGGTCGAATCAGATGCCGCGGATTTCCACTGCTCATGCCACTCTAGACAATCCTATAGGCACGATCTAATAGAGGCATATTGAAAGGCAGGTAAAAACAAGCAAACTGTCATGGACCTTAAATCCAGCTATTGCTACAAGCAGCGTAGTGTTTCTGATTCATCAGTAGCAGTTGGGCTACGGTAATAAAGCGGACAGTACCACGCAGAGCAAGCTTGCGAATCCCAAGCATCGACACATTATGCGCACTTTTCCCCCTTCTACGTATTGTTTACCCAAAAAAAAGGAAGGATCAAAGGAGACTGCGTACAACAGGGCCCTATTTAAACACCACTCAAAGAAGAAAAAGAAAGCGATATCAAGAAACCAGAGATTCCGGCAAATGTGAAACAAACCAGTAAAAGTCAAAGATAGACACGAAATTAGGGGTGAGGAAGAAATATAATAATGTAACTGTACAATACCCCTAACAGAATCAATCTACCTTGCCCGTGGAACCGCCGTTCAGAAGACCTTCCTTTCCATCGAGATTGAAGAAACCGCCGCCAGTGTTACCGGTGACTCCGAGAATGCCACCACGGCCCCCACGTCTAGCAGCTCGTCCTCGAGCCACAATTGTGGCTCCAGCAACCGACAGGGTCAGAAGGATGAAGAAAATGATCGGGTGGCCACTGATGAAAGACCGAGTGAAGAAGAAGACAGACTCAAAGGTACCCACGGTGGACTTCGGTGTAAGCTTCGATGGGTTTGCGATGACCAAGGGGATGGTCTCAAGGATAGAAGTCCGGGAGGCCATGATGGATGCACCGCTGGAAGATGTGTCCCAATAGCGTCGGTTCTATAGGAGTTAGCATCGGAAACCACCAGGTGAAACCTTGGCTTTCTGCAGTCACTTACATCTTGGTCATTGATAATCACGCGCTCGCCATTCTCAACGTCGATACCATATGTGGTTCTCAGCCACCTTTCCCAGAAATCACCATCAATCCAGGCGAAGCCGACTTGCTTCTTGTCGTCTTCACGAATTGTGATACGCATGTTCTTGGCTGCGCGTAGGGCACGCTGGTCGTTACGGTCTTCGGCTTCCTCGATCCGCAGCTGCTTGGCATCGCGCAGCTCTGCACGCTCCAACTGGAACAGTTGCGTTTGCTTGTCCATCCATTCCAGGGCGGCATTCTTGAGCTCTCTCTTGGATTGTAAAAACTCATCCGAGTGCTTCCGGCTCAGAATACCAAGAACCACATACTTGCCGTCCATGATCTCCCGTGCGTTAGAGGCGGTGAGTTCGGGTACAATAGGCAGCCACACAGTGCGCATCCAGTTCAAAATCTGGCGGAAGTCGCGCATGTCCTTAGGAGCAAGAGCATTGTAGTAGCTGGGACGGCCATCACGAGACACAAGAAGGCGTGGCCAGGTCGAAATCTTGAACCTCTCAGCAAGAGCAGCGCTGTTCGTCTTGACAAGCCTGGCATGGCCGACCAAGCTAAGGGTCAAACGCTCCAGAGCTTCAAAGTCCTCCGAGGTGGTCGCGTGATCATAGAAGTATAGGAAGATAACATCTTCTTTCTCCTCCAACTCCTTAAAAGTGGTGGCATCGACATCCTGCACGCCGGATCCCACATCAACAGCCGTCTTGGCATAGCTGATGAGATCTCCAAGGCCACGAAGACCGGTGTACTCAACCCTCTCACCGCCGCGGAAGAAATACATCGTCGGGAAGGCGCTGACTCGAGCATCCTTGCAAAGCCGGGACTCCGTGTCGCAATTCACTTCTCCAACGTTGAGAACACCTTGCATTTCCTTGGCCATTTCCCTCCAGTTCGGAGCCAAGGCCTGACAGTGGTGGCACCATGGCGCATAAAACTTGATAAACCAAGGGTCCCGAGTGGTAGTGACAAGTTTCTGAAAGCTTTCTGCGGTGAGAGGAACAGAGATACCCTGAGGGTTTGCTGGGGCCGACTTCGGTTTGGGCTTGGATTTGAATGATGTCTTCTCAGTGGGTTCATCTTCGGCGGCCAGTTGCGCAGCCTGCTCGTTATGCTTTTCTCCAGCTTTGGCGCCCGCCTCACGATCCTTGTCCTTAGCAACAGGAGTCTCCGGCTCAGCCTTGGTGTCCACCCCTTTGTCGCCCGGCTTGGGAAGGTTCAGGCCTTGCGCAGGCCGTGACCCAGGCTTGATCTGCTCCAGCTTGTCCTCAACGTATTCGCTGAGCGCTTCCATGCTTTTCTTTCCAGTGTACTGCTCAACCAGTTCACCATTGTGGTACAGGGCAAATGTGGGGAAATACTTGACGTCGAGTTTCCGACAGAGATCGCCATGTGCAAGACAATTCATCTCCGCGAAATGGAAGTTGTAGAAGCCATGGAAGGAGTTCAGGGACTCGGTTTCGGGTGACTTGGATGATGACGAGGACAAAGGGTCGGAGGTCTAGTGAATGCCAGGAAAGGTTAATAAGAGGCAACCCTTGTATCCTACGATATAAGCTAACTCACGTAGTAATATTCATACAGAGTCTGCCATGTGGGAGCAATCTTTTGGCAGTGCGGGCATGACGGAGAGTATTGTTTCACGAACCTGGTTACTTATCAGCGTTCGGAGGAGGATTTGGAAATATGACACGAAGAGAATGCCTACCAGTAACCATCTTTGACAGTTTCGTCGAAGTTATCAGGTCCCAAGGCCTTCATAGGTGGAACCTCAATGCCATTGAACGTAGTCGACTGCACCTCCGACTTCACGTCGCTTCTCTTTACGAGATGGTGGTTCGGGGAGACATCATTCGATGGGGCGGCTAGTGTCGGAATAGAGGCAAGAGAGAGAAGAGACCACGCCAGCAAAGAAACCCTCATGCTGGCTGAAGTGCAAGGTCTTGGACCTTGAGTGTTAAACTTTAAGGAGAGACGGTTGGATGGGGAAAAGAGGAGTCGAAGAAGTCAGGAGCGGGCGTCACAGGTGGCACATTGGACTAACGACGGTCTAGAATCGCCCAGAGACGCGCTGAAGGAGCCCCTTGGTGGGGAGATCAGCCAGTCGGTTGGTAAGAAGATACGCCGGGCGCAGAGACTGCTGCGGAGAGATCCGCAGGCCCTCGAAGTGCAGGAAGGACAAACGTGGAGGATAGAAAGAGATGCCACCCCTACAAGGACGATAAGCCAGCCAGGTGGTGGAGGTCCTCAGGGAACCGCAGAGGCCCGGTGCGACGGTTTCTCCGGGGCCCGACGGCACCTCAACCCTTCGCGCATCCATCCCGATCGAGTGTGCTATCCTGACGACTGACGAGCTCATCCGTCCCCGCTTACCGTCTGCCATTGGGTTTGTCACCACTGGTCCTTTCGCCCAATCACACACTACCCGATCATAATGAGGTCTACATTACGGTTGCTGGCCAACGTCAAGCCGGCTCGGTACTTGGAGCCTTTCGCTCCCACCGGCTTGACTGGCCTCGTCACTCACCCTAGCCCTCGTCCGACCCTGATCTTCCTTTACACATCCACCCTGGAGAAGCTGAAGGCCTTCCCCGAGTCTTCCGTCTACCGCCAGTCTACCGAGGCATTGACCCGCCACCGTCTGCAGATCGTCGAGTCTACGAAGCCGCCCGGATTTGATGCTTGGTTGGAGCGTGCGAAGAAGGCCGTGGCTGCTGAGCCCGAGCGCTTCGCTTCTCTTCGCCGTTCTGACGGCTCATATGCGGCCTTCCAGCGGGATGATGGATCCGACAACCCTCGTGGCGAGGAATGGGATGGAGAGAGCATTGAGCCGACCTCCGAGGGTCCTGCTCGTACAGCGGAGGAAGAAGCCCGGTGGCACCAGGCCATTGAGGAGTCTACTAAGCCCGGGGCTGATGCCGCAGCCGATTTCTATCTTAACGACATGAAGTGGGAGAACGAACCCGCCCTGGAGGCTGAGCAGTATGTGGCACCATTTCTTATACATGGCGATGCGACGGAAACGCTGACAGTTGTTTTTTAGGATTGCCGAAATTGAGAAGCAAATTGGCGCCGGTCTCATCGAGGAGGTTATTCAGGTTGCAGAAGGCGAGCTGAAGGTCGTTGACGAGCTGTACAAGTCTGGAGCGTAAGTTGACGGATTGATATGTTTGTTGATATAAGGCGAGATGCTAACAATTCCCTAGGTGGGAGGAGCTCGAGGAGAAGCCCAGACCTGGCCAGTGGTCCTACTTTGAGCGTCAGACGGAGTAAGCATAGACTGTTGCTCTCATGAACGGAGGATTTGAAATTAGATTCCGACAAGCCTGTAATTATTAGTTCATGTGTGAAACAAAACTGGTCGCCAATCTTAAGCCAACTTTATCCATGACAATTCTTCACTTTCATTTGCGGCAACGATGGCCGTGATATCCGCCTGCAAGAGTCCCTGTGAGAGGAACGGAACTCGCGCAATGCGAAGCTCTGTATAACCCGTCCCGAATCACGAGTATGGCTTCTACATCCTCAAAACTCCTATGTTGTTCCAATATAAAACGATCCTTCGCCCCATGTATACACATGGTGGACATGGAGGGTACATGGCTGGGACTCTATAGAAATCAGAAGCGTAGGCGGTGAGCCCCATGTGGCTAGCCCGATTGCAGATAGCTGGCGGGATTCCGTCTCCTTGTGGACACATCGCTGCCAGTCCCTGAACATTTGCATTGACCTTGCTGGCCATTCCGGTCGGGGAATTTCATTCTTCTTTCTGTTCTCTCGTCCAGCTTCTCCTCAGGAGCTTATCCATACACGGGTGGCTGTTTGAGCGGCTCGTGGCCTGGTTTCCCCTCCTTACAGCCCGTTCTCCGACGCCGCACATAGTCGCGACTCTCCTTCCCCACACAACATGAAATTGGATGTCAAGGTACGAGCTGCGTTGCGGAGATAAGGTCTCTCTACTTGATGTAGGGACGTGGCGGAGGGACATAGGCTTGTGAACAATGACACGGATGCTGATTGTTGCTGTGACTTACAGAGACAGCTGTTCGCCCGCTCGGAGCGGGTGAAGGGCATTGATTTCCATCCCACAGAGCCATGGGTGAGTAACCAATCGTTCCGACCCTTATATTGATACTAATTGGTCCTAGATCCTTACGACGTTATACAGCGGTGCGTTGGGGAGTTGAGCCATTGGGTCGAATGCGCTAATTGGACACAGGTCATGTATACATCTGGTCTTATGAAACCCAGGTGAGCTGCCCAGAGATGGAGCAACAATGAGGCATTGCTAATCACTAATATGACTAGTCTATTATCAAAACCTTCGAACTCACTGATGTCCCTGTACGAGCCGGTCGTTTTATCGCTCGCAAAAACTGGATCGTCTGCGGATCCGATGACTTCCAACTTCGCGTTTACAATTACAATACCTCCGAGAAGATTGCTTCATTCGAGGCTCACCCGGATTACATCCGTTCAATCGCAGTGCATCCCACTCAACCCTTCGTTCTTACCGCATCCGATGACATGACAATCAAGCTCTGGGACTGGGAGAGGGGCTGGAAATGTGTCCAGGTATACGAAGGCCATAGCCACTATGTGATGGGACTGTCGATCAACCCCAAAGATACGAACACTTTCGCATCCGCTTGCTTGGACCGCACTGTCAAGATCTGGAGCCTTGGCTCGCCGCATGCCAACTTCACCCTGGAGGCCCATGAAACCAAAGGCGTGAACCATGTGGATTACTACCCCCAGGCGGATAAGCCATACCTCCTCACGACATCGGATGATAGGACTGTTAAGATCTGGGATTACACGACGAAGGCGCTCATTGCAACCCTGGAAGGACACACGAGTAACGTTTCGTTCGCCTGTTACCACCCGGAATTGCCGGTCATCATTTCTGGATCGGAGGACGGAACCATTAAGATCTGGCATGCGAATACATATCGGTTGGAGCAGTCGCTAAGCTATGGCTTGGAACGGGCCTGGTGTATCGCCTACCAGCGCGGCAGGCAGGGAGTTGCGATGGGTTTCGACGATGGTGCGGTGGTTGTGAAGATGGGCCGAGAGGAGCCGGCCGTTTCAATGGACGGATCAGGAAAGGTTATTTGGGCCAGGCATAACGAGGTTGTCTCTACTGTCATCAAGGGCGGTGATGCCAGCATCAAGGATGGGGCTCCACTGTCTTTGCCCACGAAGGAATTGGGATCATGCGAGGTCTACCCTCAGACGTTGTCTCACTCCCCCAATGGACGTTTCGTTTCGGTGTGTGGTGATGGTGAGTACATTATCTACACTGCTCTTGCCTGGAGAAACAAGGCCTTTGGACAGGCGTTGGACTTCGCCTGGGGTTCCAAGGACAACAGCAACGACTACGCCATTCGGGAGTCCACCACCAGCGTTAAGATCTTCAAGAACTTCAAGGAAGTGAGTGGTGGCCTGGACGTTGGCTTCCAAGCCGAGGGCCTCACCGATGGTGTGCTTCTTGGTGTTAAGGGACAAGGAGGTATCGGCATGTTCGACTGGGAGACAGGTAATCTGGTCCGACGCATTGAAGTCGACCCAAAGGCTGTAAGTGTACCTTCCAGGGCGAAACTAAATGGCTTATTGCTCACAAAGTAAATAGGTCTACTGGTCCGAGTCCGGCGAGCTGGTGACCCTCGCTTGTGAGGATACTTTCTACGTTCTTCGGTTCTCCCGGGAGAACTACATCAATGGTCTCAACGCTGGCGAGGCCGATGAAGATGGTGTGGAGTCTGCTTTCGAAGTTGTCACCGACATCAACGAGTCTGTTCGCACAGGTCAATGGGTTGGAGACTGCTTCATCTACACGAACTCGACAAACCGCCTGAACTACCTGGTCGGTGACCAGACCTACACCATTTCCCACTTTGACCAGGGGATGTACGTCTTGGGCTACCTGCCCCGCGATGGTAGGGTCTATCTGGCCGACAAGGACGTCAACGTCGTGTCTTTCGGCCTTTCCCTCAGCATGGTCGAATACCAGACCGTGGTGCTGCGTGGCGACATGGACATGGCGGCTGAGCTGCTCAAGGATGTCCCCCAGGACCAGATGAACAAGGTTGCGCGATTCCTCGAAGGCCAGGGCTATAAGGAGATGGCCCTCGAAGTGGCGACTGACCAGGAACACCGGTTCGAGCTGGCACTCGGGCTCAACAACCTCGACATCGCCCTGGAGATTGCCCGCGAAGCCAATGTCGAGCACAAGTGGAAGACTGTCGGAGATGCTGCCCTGGCAGGATGGAACCTGGCTCTGGCCCAGGAATGCTTCACCAACGCCAAGGATGTTGGCTCGCTCCTCCTTCTGCAGACCGCCAGCGGCAACAAGGATGGTCTGCGCCAGCTGGCCGAGCAAGCCTCGGAAGCGGGTCTCCACAACGTCGCCTTTTCCACCTTCTGGTCCATGGGCGATGTCGACGGCTGCATCGATCTCCTGGTGCGTACGAACCGCCTGGCGGAATCTGTTCTCTTCGCACAGACCTACAAGCCTTCTCGCGCCCCTGCGCTCGTCGCACAATGGAAGGAGTCTCTAGAGGGCTCCGGAAAGACCAAGATCGCCCGTCTCATTGGTATTCCGCCGGGCTGCCCTGACGTCGCCGCGGATGATGACCTCTTCCCAGAGTGGGATGAGTATATCCGTCTCGAGAAGGAAGGAGTGACGATTCCAGAGCCCCCGTCATCAGAGTCTCTGATTGACGTGAACGCAGACGAGGAAGATGAGTCGGCAGCCAATGGCGACGAGCCTGAGGAGGAAGCCGAGGAAGCCGAGGAAGCCGACGCATGATATGATAATGTGATCAAGGGGGAAAAGCTGACGTGATGTGATTGAAATGGTGGCTTTCATTAATTCTGCAGTGGAGAGGAAAATCATTTCGTGTATTGTTGGCACGCCTACCAACCAATCTGGCTTGCTTGGAGCACTTATCTATCCAATCTCCTTACATAACTTTTATCTTCTAGAAGTGTTTGCGTTATCCTCCTTCTACATTGCCCGTTTGTTATGATTCAATCTTATGTTTCTTTTTTTTTTCTCTATTTTCCCTTACCCTGCTTTTGAGTCTCCTTTTAACACTTTGATCTGTATCTTTTCCCAGTTCTCTCGACCTGTATCTATCACCCTGTTTGAACGGTTTGAAGTGATGATCATATATCTTCTCTCCTATTTCTTCGGACGGTATGACGGATCCCAGCACTACATGGTGGGGATGTGTACGGTTATGGTATCCATGAAGAACCTGTCCAGATGTAGATAATCCATTGTTGTCTATGAGCCAGCCATGTCAATCAACACCCTTACCGTCAACTGCCCGAAGCCGTCCCAGCGCGCGCAAAAGCACCCACGAAATGTGAACAGTAACGTAAAAGAAACAGCTAAAAGGTCTAAATCAGGACCGCTCAAATGTGTACTTTGATATGTAAATCGACCCAAATGGATTCAGCTTCCCCAGAAGCAATCCGTGTTCCGCCGGAGCAGGGAAGGATCGGACCAGCAGATCAGAAACAAGGACGGACGGACCGGCTTCCCAGGCATTGGGAGGTCATTGGTAGTGGGCTGCACCATGACTCTCTGCTGGATTTGTGCCATCCTCCTGCCTTTCAATCGAAGCAAATCACTGACGCAAGCCCGAGACAAATTGGTAAATGACACGGCAGTCAAAAAGAGGTGGTAATGACAGGAAAAGAGAAATGCACGAAAGGGACCCGCCTCATTGTATCTCAGATGCAAAACAAGGTAGAAAAACACAAGCGCTTAGCCGAGATCACCGCCACAGAGAATGGATTCCAACAGAAATATACCGTATAGCCCTTATGCTCGTAGGGAAAAGGAGAGCCAGCAATGAAGCGAGTGCTCGAGCTATGCAGAGAATATGCACGAGGAGTAAAGGTGAGATGCAAAGAAATTGTCTCGAACAACTTCCCTTAATGTCTTGAAAGAACATATCGTTGCTCAAGCAAGCCAACTGACGACGTATCACTTCCTTACTCGGTGATGCTACCAAAAGAGGGATCCTTAACACTGCCACCGGCATCCCCGAGGCCGGCAACCGGCCGGTTGTAAGACCAGCCTTCGAACTGTTGCTGCATAGTCTGTGACAGAACTGGACCGTCCACGTAGGAATCTTGTGGGGCTTCGCTGGTAAACTCCCGGTCAAAGTTGGTAATGTCGCGAGCGCCCATCTGCACATGTTAGTAATGATCACCACAAAGGGAATTATGTCAGGATGTTTCCATACCACGTTCGGACGGAAGCTTGGTTCGTACTTCCTCTGGAGCAGCTTGCGCCAATCAATATTAGCGAAGAAATGATGCGACTTGATCTCCGCTGCACCGTTGGCTCCCAACCGACGTTGGGGGTCGCGATCAAGCAACCGGGTCAACAGATCCCGAGCGGCGGGAGGAACGATGTCGGTACTGGGGAAGGTCAGGGGCTCCTGAAGGATCTTCCGGTACATATCGTTGGTGTTCTCATCGTAAAACGGGGGAAGACCTGTTAGCATCTCGTAAAGGAGGACACCCAGCGTCCACCAATCAACGGTCTTGGTGTATCCGTTTCCGAGCAGAAGTTCAGGTGCAAGATATTCAGGGGTACCGCAGAACGCTGTTCAAGATGTTAGAAGTGTCGTGTGAGAACAAGTTCGGTAACTTACTGTTTGTACGATCCTCATCCTTCATGTCCAATTTACACAGACCGAAATCGCACAGAGCAATGTGGCCAGTGTAATCCAAGAGGATGTTTTCTGGCTTGAGATCACGGTAGATAACCTTGAAGCCGTGCAGACACTCCAGTGCACAAAGCAGCTCGGCGGTGTAGAAACGGGCCCGATTGATATCGAAGCGCTGCTCACGCTGAAGATGGTGGAACAGCTCACCACCGTTTACGAATGCGAGAACGAGGTACAACTTCTCCGGGGACTGGAAGGAGAATTTCAGAGGGACAATGAAGGGGTTGTTAATCTGAGAAAGCACGGATCTCTCAGCGAGGGTGTGGGTGACTTCCGACCGTGAGATAATGTGCGCCTTGCGGATAGTCTTGAGGGCGTAAATCCGACCCGTATCCTTCTTCATGACCTGCATGACCTTGCCGAAACTGCCCTTGCCCACCACCTTTAGCAAATCGAAATCCTCCAGCTTCATGCTGCGTTGCTTATTCTCGACGAACGAGACACCGATCTTGATGGAGCCGGTGCCGAACTGAAGATCTAACCATTCGGCGCCGAGCTGACCCAGCTGGCGCTCTTGCGGCGCCTTCTTGGACTTGGGGTCCTCTGCATGCGGCTGAGCCTCCTCGAAGCGAGGGTGGACCTTGACAGCTCCAAGGAAGATATCCTCACTGCGACCAGCGCCGGGCCGAGCAGCCGGGTTCCGGAGATACAGCTGAATGTTCAATTCCGTCTTGCGCGACACGTCAAATTTATACGCGGTGTTATCTCCAGCCCAGAGGGGGTTCTCGGGCGACCCCGAAACGGCGTCGACGAAGACTTGGTTCTTTTCGAAATCCAGGAGGGCGTAAGGAAGGTACTTGGTCGAATACCGACCGTGGATGGTTGGAGCGGCATTGATCCCTCCACTGGTCGACTGAGGACGACCGCTTTGTACGAATGAGGCGGCCTGACCGTGCGCAGAGTGGGATGATGACGAGCTTGGACGCATGCCATAGGAATTGTTGTTTTGGAAATGCGAGTTGAAGATCTGTTGGTAATGAGGGGAAAGGGAGAAGCTTCGCCCTTCGTGGAGGGTGACGATCAAGATCCCGGGCTTAACAGGGGCCACGGGCGGGGAGACGAGCGACTCCGAGGCATCTTTGCGAATGTTAGACGGTCGGCAGAGAGACGAGGGGCAAAACGAGAGAGCATACTGATACCATTGGAGTTGGTTGTGGAGATACTCGGGGTTTGCGAGACAACAGGGGTCTCTTCGCCAGAGTCACCTTTGATGGTGGATGTGGAGGAGGATCGGGTGAATGTTTGGGTCAAAGGAGCCAGGTGCGTCTCCTTTAATTCTGTATGAGGGATTAATTAGCATCGAGTATGCAGGACAAAGGAACCACGGGAATGAAATCAGCACGTACTTCTAGTGAGTTTCCACGACATTGTGACGGCGAGTAAGTAAAAGGATCCAGGGCGTAGGAGGGAGAGTAAGGGAGGTAACAGGAAGAAGATCAGTCTGTTCAGTGACAGACGATTTTAAACAGAGAAAAGGAGAGAAATAGGAGGCCACAACTGGTCGGAGGCCTGGCAGAGGAGGGCGAATGAGCCAGACCAGTCAAGTGCAGTGATAAAATGCAGAACCGCCACAGCCACAGCGGTCAGCAACAGAAGGAGAGCGAGGTAGTTCAGGAACCAACGATTGGGCGAGGACAGGGGAACCACCGCAAATGTATACGGGACGCTGTAGAGACAAACGGAATTGCGATGTAAGAACCAGGGCCGGGAACACGATAGAACACACAGGAGGATCGACCCGGGTTTGAATTTAGGGAGAGACGGTGATAAGGCGATTGGGGGAAGAGGGGGAGAGGGGGGGAAGGGACTGAGCGATGGAGAGCGGACGACAAGAGTTCGGCCACCGCGAGAACAAACCAACAAACAGGGTCGGGGAGGCTGAACTCTTTGCCTGAGGACTCCCGACTCAGACTTGAGGGCTGAGGAGGGGAAGGAGGCCCGAGTCCAAAATAGAATAGTGGGCACGTTTACCTACCCCTGATTGGTCCAGGAACAGCGTTGCCTGAATTCTTCGTGCCTTGGTGCCTGACCACCCGCGATGGAGCAATTGGCCTGAGGCATCAATCTCCTGAATGTGAGGCGGTGCCATGCCAAATCGGGACCTTAGCCTCGATCGGGCAACCGCAGCACACTAGCCCCAGAACTCAGCCACCGCCCCCAGAACCTCGAATCGTCCACCGGCGATACGCGATCGATCCAAGTTTACTGCGACATCAGCTGTCACAATCTCCCCGCCATCCCCAGAAACTTTGTCGGTGGTTGCGAATCGTCTGTTCTGGAACCCTTGCCTGTCGGACCAGCTCTTCCGGGTCTCCAAGCTTACTCCACCGTTGTTTCCCCGGCATTTCCCCCCCCGCTAGTCGACTGCGGAGACGTACATCCCTTTGCGCTACCGCCGTTCTCAAGCCCACCATCTCGCCCATCGCATAAATCCTTCCTCTTGCCAGCTTCAAGTTGCCCTCTCAAATTACTGGAGGGCGTGTCGGTGTGGTCGAAACGGATCCGGGAATAGTGGAGGATGAAAGGGACCCGCGACCGATGGGTGTAATACGGAAGAAGACCGCCTCGCGCGGCACTGAAGCGGGCACCAAATATCACTGTGATATCTGCTCGGTTGACGTGACTTCGACGGTACAGTCTTGCGATCTGTGTCCTCGTGACCTCACTGCCACTTGGCTCGATCTAATCAGCTGGCCCCTCTAGGTCCGCGTATCCTGCGCCCATCCCGCCTGCCACGAATATGATCTCTGTGTTCCCTGCTTCGCTGCCGGGGAGAAGTCCAAGAACCATGATCCGTCGACGCATCCATTCCAGGTGATCGAGCAAAACTCCGTTCCGATCTTTGAGGAAGACTGGGGTGCGGACGAGGAGCTGCTGCTGCTGGAAGGCGCGGAGATCTACGGGCTGGGGTCCTGGGCCGACATTGCAGATCACATTGGTGGCTATCGCACCAAGGAGGAGGTCCGCGATCACTACGTCAGCGCCTACATCGACAGTCCGAACTTCCCATTGCCAGAACGCGCCGACCCCGATGACAAGCGGCTCTCGGAGGCTATCTCGAAGGAGGAGTTCCAGTCACGGAAAAAGCGGCGCATTGAAGAGCGCAAAGAGGCGGCTAAGGCAGCTCCGCCCACGACACCGAAGCAAAAGCCTACGGCCAGTGTACCGGCTTGTCACGAAGTGCAGGGATACATGCCGGGTCGGTTGGAATTTGAGACGGAGTTCATGAACGAGGCCGAAGAAGCGGTCCAGCACATGACGTTCGAACCTGGCGCAGGCGAGACGGCGAATGGCGAGACGGACGCGGAAATGGAACTGAAGATGACGGTGGTGGATATCTACAACTCGCGACTTACGGCGCGCACAGAGCGCAAGAAAGTCCTCTTCGAGCATAACCTCCTCGAGTATCGCAAGAACACAGCACTGGAGAAGAAGCGCACGAAGGAGGAGCGAGACTTGCTAAACAAGGCGAAGCCCTTTGCTCGGATGATGAACCACGATGATTTTGAGGAGTTCAACAAGGGCCTGGAGTACGAGCACAACCTCCGGCTGGCCATTACGCAGCTCCAGGAGTGGCGCCAGATGGGGATCGGCGATCTCAAAGGCGGAGAGAAGTACGAGCAAGAGAAACAGCAGCGAGCGCAGCGACTGGTGCCGCAAGGCTCATTTGACCGGTTCGCCAGCACGCGACCGGCCAAACAGGCGCAGCAACCGGAACAGCCGACCGCCGCTAGTCAGCTGACGACTCCGGAGCTTCCCCTCCGGCTGCAGAAGGTGTCCGGCACTCCTAAAGCGCCGGAGCCTGTCAACCAGCCGATGAACGACTTCGACCGGGCCTTTGCCGCGAGCAATGGGGACGGGGTAAGCACGCCGCAGCCGGCGAAGACCAAGTTTGTGATCCAGCCACTGAACGGGGTGATTCCGTGGAAGCTGGAGAACGAGGGGGCGCCGGATCTGCACCTGTTGACGAAGGAGGAAGTAGAGGTGTGCAACGTGCTGCACATGCAGCCGAAGCCGTACCTGGTGATCAAGGAGACGTTGCTGAAGGAATCGATGAAACAGGGCGGCACTCTCAAGAAGAAGGACGCGCGCACTATATGCAAGGTAGGTCTCTTCCTGGATAGCAAGGCATTGAAGACATGCTGACCTCTGCAGATTGACAGTACCAAGTCAAGTCGAATCTACGATTTTATGGTTCACAGCGGCTGGATCAACAAGGGCTGAGCGTCATTGCATGAGCTGGATACCACGTTGTTCTGTGCGAGTAAGGAGTTGGCGGCGTTGCGGGGGAGGCTAGATGATTGATTGATTACTGATTGACTTGATTGCATGGGACTTGCTGGATATAGCTGCCCGTAGAACTTCCTCTGATTTATGAACAATAAAAGAAACACACGATAGTCATGGATAATGGGAGTGGTGGCTAGACCGGAGATGATACCCACCCGGGCTAGCACCGAACTAGGTAGCCTTGTCTTCTCCGCATCCTAAGAATCATCCCTACTCCCCGGGCCTCGGCAACTCCCTACCCCCATTCATCTCCAACTCCTCTTCTCTAACATCACACCAACTCCCCCTCTTCTTCTACCACCTTACCATACTCTCAATCTATACCACAATTTATCCACCCTCATCCACCAAACACACCACGCCACATCCTAAGAACTCCCCCAAAACAATACCCCCCAAAATGTCCCTCCCCAATCACCCCTCCTCCTCCAAAACCCTAACACTCAGCCAACCTCACCCCTCCATCCTCCTCGTGACTATATCCCGCCCAACCGCCCTAAACAGCATCTCATCCGCCGGCCACCAAGAACTCCACGCTATCTGGACCTGGATGGACGAACAGCCCTCCATCCGAGTCGGGATATTAACCGGTGCGGGTAGAGCTTTTTGCGCCGGCGCGGATTTAAAAGGTTACTTACTGTTACTTTACTTATTTCCCATTTCCCATCTGCTCTTTTCTCCCTTCAATATTCTGGATTAGTATACTCATACTAACTATACCTTAAAAATAGAATGGAACAACACCGTCCAAGGAACATCCACCTCCCAAAAAGAAACCCCCAACATGCCCCCCTCCGGCTTCGGCGGCCTCTCCCGCCGCAGCGGCAAAAAGCCCATAATCTGCGCTGTGAATGGACTCTGTCTGGGTGGTGGATGCGAGATGGTTCTCAATGCGGACTTGGTGATTGCCGCCGAAAAGGCGTATTTCGGATTACCCGAGGTGCAGCGCGGCGTGGTGGCGTGGGCGGGAGCGTTGCCGCGGTTGGTGCGGACGGTGGGACGGCAACGGGCGATGGAGATGGCGTTGACGGGCCGGCGAGTGGGTGCAGCGGAAGCGTTGCAATGGGGGTTCGTGAATGAGGTGGTGCCGGCGGAGGGGGATGTGGTGAAGCGCGCGGTGGAGGTGGCGGCGCAGATTGCGGCGAATAGTCCGGATGCGGTGATTGTAAGTCGCGAGGGTGTCAAGCTGGGATGGGAAGGCTTGGGAGCGGAGGAGGCATCGAGCCGCCTGATTGAGGAGTGGTCGGGGCGGTTAAATGCGGGTGACAATATCCAGGAGGGCCTGCGTGCGTTCGTGGAGAAACGGAAGCCTCGGTGGGTGGATAGTAAGTTGTGATCTATTCTACGTTGCGCCTACGAGATACCAGTGCAGTTCATGTTATGAAGTCATGTATTCCTTGGTCCTAGCTGCCTGCAACTAAGTACATCATTATTGTATGACTGTGCTAATCCATTTCCCATGCCCATGCTCCATCCGCGCCGACCATTGTTCGCCGTATCCCAGGTGGCTCTCTCCGTCCGGCGGCAGAGCCAGTTGTACATGCGGTTGGACATTCGCGTCCGTGATCGGCTCGGAATGCATTCGCAGTTTTCGTAATCGTAATCGTGAACATTATGAATCTCGACATTGCAAGAACAGCAGGGCTCTTACTTCGTCTCCTGCTGTACCTTGCTCACCCGCTCCAGCACGGCAGGATACAGCGGGTGACCCTTCTCCAGGCCAGTAAGATGACCGGTGGCATCCTCCGCCGACCGTTCCTTGAGGATGCTGGCCAGTTCGGCACTCTCGTCGTCGCCAGGTACGTTCTGGAAGCGGAGCGCCATCTCCACAGCGTCCATCAGGGCATCGTACTTCTGGCCGCGCTCCGCCAGCTGGGAGGCCGGTCCAATGAACCGCTCCTTGCGGGACAGCTTGCGCAGTGGAGCACGTCCCACTCGGTCGACGTTGTCCTCGAGGTAAGGGTTAGAGATGCGGCTGATGATCTTGTCGACGTACTCCTTCTGCTCCTCTTCGGAAATGTCATGCTTGGACACGATGAGTGAGGCAGTCTCGTCGAGAACCTTGTGGACAAGGCCCCGAATCTCCTGGTCATCCAGAGCATCTGCAATCATCTTCTTGCCCCGGATGTGGCCATAGTAGGCTGTAGTAGCATGGCCGGTGTTGACGGTAAAGAGCTTGCGTTCAATGTAGGGCTCCAGGTTATCAACCCAGTGGATAGCAGGGATATCGGGGTGACCGACAGAGCCGAAGGGGGTCTTCTCGACGACCCATTCGTAGAACTTCTCGATCCGGACGTTGAGTCCACTGTTGGAAGGCTGCTGAGGGACGATCCGGTCAATGGCAGAGTTGGCAAATTGGGCGCGCTCGTACAGGGACTCGACCCGCTCCGAGCTGGTATTCTGCTTGATGAAAGCATGCAACGTGTCGGTAGCTCCAATGGCATTCTCACAAGCAATGACAGCCACGGGCTTCGATTCAGTGCGGGCATCGATACCCTTGGCGATCACCGGGGCAATGAACTTGAGGATGTTAGGGCCCACGGCGCACGTCACGACATCAGCCGTGGCGATTTCCTGGATGGCATCGCTCTCGTTGTGCTTGGAGTTGATAGCACGGTAGTTGGTGATGGTCTTGGTGCTCTCGCCCTCCTCACTGACTTCAGTGACATCATACGACTTGGTGTTCTGTAGAGACTCGACAACCTTGTCGACAACGTCGACGAAGACGACCTCGTAGCCGGCCTCATGGAGGAACTCGGCAACGAAACCACGGCCGATGTTACCACCGCCGAACTGAATGGCCTTTTTGCCCATGATGCAGTAGGGTCAAAAGAAGAGATAGGTGGATTGTTGTGAGGGAGTGCCGTAGGAGGAGTAGTTAGACACTTGATAAGAGAGAAGAGGCAGAAGACAAGTGTTGATCAGAGAGAAAGTGGTGAGTGTGAAAGAAAAGACAAAGGATGATGGAGGAAAAAGAGTGGTGAGAAGAGGGGGGAATGGAGGGGTATATAAAGTATATTCACGAGCACGAGGGGGAATGAGGGAATAAGGGAATGAGGCAGGCACGATCGAAACGGAGGGAAGGTGCGACGGTGAATGGGCGACCCCGGGAAGAACTGGGAGCCAAGGGGGGCGCTTGCCTCTACAGTGCACAACCTCACGATACCCTACATGGTCCCTCCTCACCAGCAAGTGGGGGAGAGCGAACCGGCCGGGAGTATGACTTAATGGATGAGGCCCAACAGGACCAGTGACGGCCGTTCCAATGAGCGATGATGACGCAGCCCAATGCGGATTGGCGGCGCGGGCAATTCAGGCCTGCACGGGGCCTCCTTACTCACTTCCCCTTGACTTGAATTCCAATCAGAGGCCACCGGAGGGAGAATCCCGGTTGATTCCGCACCAGACACGGCTGTCGGTGCAGGTGTCGCATGTGCAACAGTGCCATCGCGAAGTCGACTACGGCTATACTAGTGAGTCCTTTGGTCCGGCGGGTGAAGTCTGGCAGATTACACGGTAACAGTCAGTCAAGCAGTCTCGGAGATTTTCTGCCAGTATGAGTCCCCTTGATCGCTGCTCATCGTGGCTTAACGGGTGATCCCCTGTCAACTACATCATCTCAGGAACAGCATCATCATTCCATGACATACTATGTGAAGGATGTCGTTAACATCATCATCACGCTGCCCCACTGGGGTTGTCAGACCAGCGATAGCGCTGGGCGATGCCGGGAATGAGTAGCGCAGGAGGGGCCATGCGCCCTTGTCATTCGACCCTCACCCGGTCCCCCTCCACTGGTGACGTGACCGGTTCTTCCCCCAGCAACACTACCCCCACTGGGTGCGATCAACAATGGACGGTCGTAGAATCCCTTTCATGGGGTTTCTGTGGGTCTTTATACATCCTGGACGGTCTTGACCCCAAGATAACCCGTCCAGGCCATCCGCACCCTCCCCCCAATAGCTTCATCTTCTATAGCCCGGTCTGCATTCGGTGCATTTCGATCCATTTCTACCCGCACTATCTACCCTTGCAACCAATCCGCTCTTATCATGTTCTTTCGCTCAGTGGTTTCCATCTTTTTCCGTCTCCGCATCTGACGGCCCTGCACTTGATTTGACCGATACTTGGTCCGATTTCGTCTCATCGCCAGGGTCGTCTGCAGGGGCAGTCAAGTCTGACCGGCTGCGATCGACCAGCACCATTACCAGACTGGTTATGCTCCCCCCCAACAACAACCCCGTAGCTGCCCATGTCATTCCTAAAAATTGTGGACCGTACTCGGCATTGACGCCGGTATCCCGACCATGATCTTTGACCAGGCCGACAAACTGGAATGCGATAACCGTGGCAATAATCGAGGCGATTCCGAGCATGGCAAACCCCAACTAAATCGTGGTTAGTAGCCGGTCCCATTTGACTCATACATCTGGGGATGGACTCTACCAGTAACAGCACTAGCTCGATCACGGACTGCCGTGGCCCACGCCGGATCGTCCACCATAATCTGCCCACTATCGCAAGTCCAGCAACCCCGGCCCCAATACAGTAGAGGGGCCCCATACTTCGGCTGGTCATGCCGAAGGAATGGAAATCATCCGTGATGGTGTCGGGCCACCCCAAGTTGGACAGCGAGGTGGTGTTCCCGGTTTCTTCCAACAGCACGGAAGAAGGGTCGAAGGCGAAGGGCAACGAAGCTTTGGAGCAATTCATAAACCTCCTGTTCCCCGACATGAGATCCCCCTCACAGTACGACATGACGTATATCGAGTAGAAGTCATGTATGCCGGTATCCTGGCTTTTATTTGAGGGGAAGACCTATGTCATTGATGTCTCAGCCTACCGAACAAGCACAGCGCGCGACAGGAGAATCAACTCACTGTGAGGATATCGGCCCCGGGCAAGACGGTCAGTTGGGTGCCTGCGAAGAGACATAGTAAGCTGAGGATAAAAGCGATAAACGCTGTTATCGTGGGGAAGTAGTTCACCAGGCGGCCCATGGTGTATTTAGATGTGTTAGTAGCGAAGGTCAACAGATCGACTGCAGCATGGCAGTCGTTAGCAGAATGGTCCGGTTGGAGACGACATGAGCGACGACTTTATGCAGCAGAGCAGCAGTGTCCTTTCACCATTCCTTGCGATGGCGGCAATAAGCCCTCAACGAGGGACAGGCACTGTACGCACGTGGCATTGAAATTGACGGGATGTCCAATTGGTTGAGGGCGACCAGGGGAATGTGCAGGCCCGATTCTTAAGGCCCGGTATGCTACCCCGAGGACCGCCCACAGCAAGAATGGGGGCCTGCCAGGCTGCGGAATCTGGACTGAAAGAAACATAAAGTCACTTGATGTCGTGCGACAGTGTTAGCTCTATCCTCCCTTGTCAGGATCTATGTGGCTGGCGACAGTATCTATTTTGGTCTACCAGTTATCTTGAAAGGACTTGACATCTCATGTCGAGAGTGATAGGTTCAGCGATGGTCGTTGCTGTACGGAGAATTGTAGTTGGAATGATGGCTATCCGAGCTCTCCCTTGTATAGTAATATCCCAGACTGTTGGCAGGGTAATGAGCAATGTTTGGGAGCTGCTCAAACATGAGTGTACATGAGTATGTCCTAACCAATTACGAAATACTTGGCTAACAAAGGCCTAGCCAGCTGATAAAAAACAAGTTCCTGTGCCTCATACAGAGTATTTTAATGCTAATCCCCACATTGACTACGGAGTACTCTAGTCTCCTTCTACCAAGAACACCAGCGAGAAAAGGATTAAGTTAGCAAACAATATAAGCCATTCATACTTCAGTCCACGCTTCGAGCTTCTTTCTACCCATCCTGACGAAGAAACACCAATGAGTTTCACCAAGATGCCGAAAATACAGACACAGCCCATGAGGCCGCTGAAGACTTCATGAAATCATTTCTCTGTTCCTACGACTGTAGATTCAATGTGCTTATATGGACACGTCAGACAAGACAATTGCCAGACTCCCTTTGGTCATGCATTTCTTCGGAGTAAATGGACGAGGTACCAAAACAATTTTAGAACGCTAGATAAACCATTATAGCATCGCACTGAATACCTGTCTCCACACGCTACCTTGATTCGATTCAGACTCGATGCGATTATGCTTCATACATTGACTGGGGTCAGAACTCATGCACAGGAGTGTCGGAATAAGAAATCGGAAATTAATTCAAGCGAGACTGCAGGCATGCCGATCAATTCACCGGGGCATTCAAGAAGCGGCATGGTGCATGACTTCAAAGGCAGAGATATAGCACGGAGTTTCCATTGGATTATATTCTCCGATACAGACAGGAGGCTTTGAAGACTAACTTGATTGTCATTAGTGAAAGAGATCTCATCATTGATCCAATTCTAAACTCTTCTTTCTCTTATTCGGGTTAAATCTACGCTCTTTAGCATATGGTGGAGCACTAAGCGCCTGCATCTCGAACAGTACTGTTTTATGTTGCCAGAAAAAGGTTGTGGCTAGAAGACGAGTTCTACTTCATCCAAGCAAATATCAATCAGCAAGGATTTGTATACCTCATAGGAAGTGCTGGATAGAGTTTCAGTCCCTACAACCTTTGGATCTCATGCTGACTGGTTTTATATAGTGTAGAGTTATGGATTTGGACTGGCGACAAGGCCGACAGGATGAAATTTTCACCAAATCGCTTCAGATTTTGATCAAGGCTTGCATGCTGTCAATATCAGGACATCATTCATAAACCTTAGCAATACAGGGAGTCAGGCTCTGGCTAATCTCTGAATGCTATTCCCCCTCTACCTAAGCCCGGGTGCACCGATTGAATTCTATGGGTTTATCCAGCTTTGGATCCGATAACTCCCCATTATTAACTCCCCCCAATGAATACTCAATCATTTTCATCACCTACTCGAAACCATTGAATCTCGTCATAGAACTTGAGATCTGTCCACTATTCCACCCCCCTTTCGCACCATACGCCACAATCTTTCTCAATCCTTCTTTTCATTCTTGCCCAATGCCGTCTGGCCGTGGGATAGAGCGAGAGTCTAACGTCAGCTTTCTATTTTCTTTATTCCCTCATTCTAATGATAAACCATAATGATGTTATCTTCTATGGAGAGGATAGCTCAATTTTCCCTTTTACAACGGATGAATCACAATGTCCCAACCTTAAATAGGCCCTATGAAGTCAAGCCCAGCACCACACCTTCCCCTTGAACAAACATCCGTCGTCAAGAGGGATACTACGGTTTAACATACCACAAGATTTGGGGAAACCCCTTCAAAACCAACCTGATCAACACAAGTGGCTAGAAATCTTACGCACGAGAGAAATGACGAATGCCCTCGATATCCTAATTCTGCGATTATTGTCCTTGTCAACTGGCAGAATAATAGATGGCATACACAATTTGAAGTATTGCGTACTCTTTGGGGTATCCCCTTAGTACAAAGCCAACTGTTATTTTTGGTCGTCACAGCAGAGCAAAACAGAAACAACGGTCATTCTCGTAAAAGCTAAGAATTGCAATAGCATTGGCTTTGTGCCCTATTCGCGTGAGTATCCAAGTGTCATTATGAATAGACCACTTACTCATATGTATAGTAATGATACACTATGTCAGGGGATAGCTAAAGGTATAGACCCTACTCTTACTGGGCACGACGAACAGTTTCGACCGATTAACGGGTGCTTACATGGGCCTATGGATATCAACAGAGCTGGAAAGATTCGGCATCGACCGCGCAGACATTATCTCCGCCGGCGGATAGATGGCTCTCTTTTTGCCGAAGCATGGATACCTTGTCCTTGATTTGGTCGAGAGTATCATCTAAAGCGGCCAACAACGATATCGACCTGAGAGACTGCAGCTCATCAGTAACAATAACGAAGACTCAGAGCAAATGGTTCCTAAGAATAAACCATATACAGATGATTCTTCTAATCGCTTTGAGGCTATATCTTTCTCTGGGACTGGTAGCCCTTGCCTTGAGAGTCAGTGGCACGGTTCTCAGTCCTACAACGCTGGCACTTGCACCAATTGATCCTTCTCAACATGGACAGTGCAGGGGAGAGACATCGTTGAAATGGGATCTGAAATACACTGGAGGTCATCCAACAATAATTTCCTATTGGCTTTCTGAGCCGAGCCATGCTACATCGAGCTACCTGCTGCCGTGGGCCAGGAGCTATAGTTGCACTGGCAATATAGACAGACACTTCTGCGCTGTTCTTGAATGTGTCCGTCAAGGAATTTATTGCATAATAACGTAGCCAGATGTCTTTTGGGTGAAGGAGGAAAAGATCGAATCCCGGTAGGGGTTTACTCCATCCTTCACCATACTGCATTGGCTGATAAGGGAATGTTGACCTTGTATCATTCGTGGCTACGTTACGACTTTGCTTAAACACGTCCAATTGCAGTTTGTATACCCTGTTTGATCAAATCGGAAGTTGCTGGCTTTTTTACACTAGACACTCTTTTCTTCTGATACTATTGGGCTACGGGGCTGTGGTTATTCAATTCTATCTCGCATCTCTCAACCCATTACTTCCTCTTATGTAGCCTGATTAATGCTACTTGCCTTCCTTACGGAAGAATCGGGTTAGTACTACGTGCAGTTTGTAGATCTCCTCATTCTTCTCTGACAAGTCTCAACAGACCTCCCCAGCCATGATGTCTACAAACTCTACTCGGTTCGAAATCATATAAACCCCTATGTAACCAAGCCAACCCGTAGAGACCACCCTCATATAGACCTCCCATCCCTTAGCCAGCCCCTTCAGATTATATAACCCTCTCTCACATCCATCATTGTAATCCCCCAATCCAACGCATCTCCTCACTTCCCCCTCTAGAAAGAAGATTCAAAAAAAGCGGAACATCCAAACCGATCCCACTTCCCATTGCCAATCCTGTTCCATTGAAGGATCCACCTCATCCACCCAAAAAACAACCAACATCCAACCCAACAAAAACACTCCCCAAACTAACACCCAACAACTCCGGACCCCCAAACCAACCAATATAGAAAAAAAGCAAAAGAACACGTCCCCCGACCCGGAATCGAACCAGGGATTTTCTGATCACAATAGAATCCATTACAGTCAGACGCCATAACCAACTAGACCATCAGGGGTTGTTGAGGGTTCAGCCGGTCGGTCGGGGTTTATGAGCCGGAGCGAATGACTCATGGTCAGTTCCAAGCATTAAAAAGAGTTTGATTACTATCATGTAGTAGTATCCAGGAAGGGTATTCAAGTTGACTGGTTAAGCTTGATAATGGTAAGGGTGATCATGCACAAGGCATAGTAGGTACTATTTTGTTTGTGCTAGATACGTACCTTATACGGGGGCTGAAGGGTGTGAGTTTGGGTGATATCTAGGAAAGTATGGCCGTATAGCTTCCTGGCTAGAAGATATGATTAGTAGGGTTGGATATTCAATGTTGTGATTATTGCTGCGAGTTCTATATGGAGCGATAGCAGCAGGGTTATGGCCGTGGCAGCCAAAACTTATCACTATATACATAATACGAAGTACTCCGTAGACAGATTAGATTAAGTTAAGCCAAGTCCCTCGGCACTAAAGCATGGCAGACCAAGCATCCTGCAGGGTAATGCATACCAATATACATATCATATTATACTCCGCACTTCGTATACAGTGCGACATTGACGAAACAGGCAAACAGCAAAAAGCAAAAAGAAGTCCCCCGACCCGGAATCGAACCAGGGATTTTCTGATCACAATACGATATTACAGTCAGACGCCATAACCAACTAGACCATCAGGGGTTATTCTTTAGCCGGGCTAGAGTTTTGCCTACATACATTAGGGGTTTCGGTAGCCCATGCCAAGTATACAGAGCCAGAGTTTAGGTTTGATACCCGGATATGGATATCTTCTGTCAGGTCAACACAGAAGATTGGTATAGATAGTAGCCTTGATTAATATGAATCAAAAAGAAAAATAACTAGGTACAATCGATCTGCAAAAA